TTTTTCTTTATTGCTTTGCAAGAGCTATTGATACATTAAAGAAATTATTCCTCTGTCCATTGTCCTAGTATGCTGCAAATATATTTTCCCAGTTTGTCATCTGTCTTTGACTTTGTAGTCATATCATTGATCTTTTCCTTTTGGCTTCTGGGTTTGAGGCATGCTTACATAGCCCTTCCCCATTTCAAGATCAGTAAAACAGTCATACTCGTTTTCTTCTAATACTTCTACATATGCATATATGAAAGATTATAATGTTTAGATCTTTCATCCACCTGAGATTTACTTGTGGTATAAAGAGTAGGAAAGTGATCTAGTTTAAAACACAAATTTAGCTTTAAAATACAATGAATACAAATTTCTGGATACCATTTATATAATTTATTATTGTTTTAACTTTCTCAAAGAACATTCATAATGTAAAAAATAAATTCAAAGTTCACATGTTTTACAATATACATTTTTATAAGCATATTTTATGTACATATATATGTGTGTATACATATATATGCAATAAAATTATATTTTCCACAATTCTCTGGAATGTTTTATTATAATTTGACATTACTGTCACTACTAAAATATTTTTCCAAGAAAGATTTTTTTTTTGGCTGCTGGCCAGTACATGGATTCCAAGAAAGTTTCTATTTCATTTTTCTCAACGTCTTCTCACTTTCCTGGACCTTGAAGATTTCTTTTTTGTTTTACTATATCTTTTTTTAAAAAGTTTCTTTTCAATTAAGCTCACTTCTTCATGGAGAATGGAGGTCTTTATTCTTAGCAGGAAGGAGAAGAGATTTAGTATGAACTGATAACTGAGAGAAAAATTGGATTCTTCATAGGTTGTCACATGTTTACAATAGCTGGAAGGGGAAGAAAAAGGAAAAGGTTATCTTTATATAGAATTTAGAAATGTATGTATCTCTCCCTTGAACAAGTACTCTGAGCTGGAAGGAAACTTACAACAATGTGGTAAAACTCTGTAAATGTATAAAGGAAAAAATTTTGCACTGTCCGTGGCCACCATGCCAGGGACACAGGTGCTACTAGGAGCCGGGTCTTACTATTCCTCTCCAGTTTCTTTCACTCCAGATGAGCTACCACCCACCTTCTTACCATGGTCAAGGCAAACAGAAGCACAAAGGGAGAGAATCTGAATATATTTTTAAAACAAACAAAAGAAAATAATCC